CTCTCTCTCTCTCTCTCTCTCTCTCTCTCTCTCTCTCTCTCTCTCTCTCTCTCTCTCTCTCTCCAAGTATACCATTTTGCAGGCTCTCTTTTTATCTATTACATATTTACGTTAACAATACGAGATGGAATCGGTTTGTGCCTCGAAAGATAAACATCTTCTTTTGGAGGGCTCGGCTTGATAGGCTTCCTATGAAATTTAATCTTTCGAAAAAAAGGGTTGGAGATTTCGAACATTACGTCTCCGGTTTGTGATTTACAGGTGGAGTACATGGAGCATTTGTTTTTTAAGTGTGAAATTGCAGTTAGAACATGGAATGCTATCTCCCAATGGAATGACTTGATTCTCCTGGAGTGGGACTCATTTGTGCAATTGGCTTGATATTGTGGTCATTTCGAGATACAAAAAACAAGCTTTGGAATCCATTAACTTGTTGGTCTATCTGGAAGAATCAGAATGCGGTTGTTTTTAATGAAGGAAATATCAACAAAAACCGATTTTTTATTTGATAGTTGATAATTCATATGATTGGTTTGTGAGTAGAAATAGGAAAAGTACGATTACTTGGGTTGATTGGCTACAAAACCCAATTCTAAACATTTCTATGTAATCTATTTTCTAGTTTTTTGTTTGTTTTATAATATGCAGTTTTTTAAAAAAAAAGGGTAAACAGTAACTTCAGTAACTCCCTCACATCTTACATCGGATTTATGTTAACGACAGCAGCTCCAATAACTCCATCACCACTTACATCACGTAAGTCGACACCTCTCCAACATCGGTATAACGCCCTCCCGAATCGTTTCCCATTTGGGTGTGGGTGACGTAATTTAGATGACCCAGGTGTTCGGTTTGTGTTTCGGAGCCAAGGGGTATTTTGGTAAAGTGTCAGCTCGGGCTTTTATGGAAATTGGATTTTTGTTCGGGAAATTTTAAGGCAAGTATGAGTTGATAAAAGCGTAGAGCTTATTGTTACCTTTTCATGGATATAAGGATCATCGAAATCGGACTTATAATGAAGAAGTTATGGTCATCGAAGGATTATAGGGTTTAAGGATAACCCTAGTACGTGGGGCGTACATGGGGAGTACGCATGGCATACTAGTGCAAAGCACAGTACGCGTGGCGTACACTGGTGTACGCTTAGCGTACTCATGCGAGGATGGATCGCGTCTTCGGGCATGTACGCGGGGTGTACGCTTATGTACGCGGGGCGTACGTGCATTTTAATGAAACCCTAATTTTGGGATGTTGCACCCTATGTAAGCTCTTTAAGTTCCTAGGGCTAGCCTCTTTACCAGCCTCCATTGCCCTAAAACCCTAATCTCGAACCCTAATAGCCTCTTTGGGTGTTCTTGAGCTTTGGACTTGATTTTTGGGTTATTTGTGCTCCTAGAAGCGAAAGAAGAAGAAATGGAAGACTCATTCATTGGAATGAAGCTTGGAGATCCAGATTTAGCTCAATCTTTTGGTGACTTTTGAGGTATAAAGTCCCAACCTTTATCATTGTATGTTTGGATCTCTTCATGTCATAGTTTTTATGCTTTTGGTCCCTTTTGGGTTATTTTTTGAGCTAAGTCGTTTGTGGAGCTTATTCTTCTAGATTTGGGCATATTATGAGTTTCTTGAGCTTAAAGGTGTAAGCTTTATGGTTTTAGTGGTTTCATGCATACATTAAGTCATTTGTTAAGTCCTTTTGAGCTTTAAGAGCTTCATTAAGTCATGCATGCACGTAAAGTTGGCAACTTTACGTGATAAACCATCTCAAGGAAGTCGGATCTAAGTTTTGGAGTGATGTCTTAATGGGTTAAGAGCTGTAAATGGCCAAATGGCCAAATGGGGGAGTACGTTGGGTGTACAAATAGGTATGCTTAGTGTACAAGCCCTAAAGCGAGTATGTTGTGCGTACGTGCTGAGTACACCCCGCGTACTCGCCAGTTGGGCTTCGGATGTTTTGGGCTTCGGTTTGGGCCATTTTTGGACTTAGATCCTTAGGGCCTTGATGGGCCATCAGAATTCAAGTGTTTTGGGCTAGGAATATTTTTTGGACCTTGGATTGAGGCCCATGAGAGGTTTTGGGCCCAATTTGCAAAATTGGGCCATATGTGGGCCTTGGGTGTTTATTTGGAAGTTGGGCCTTTGGATTTGGTTTGGGCTTGGGCCTTGGGTCAAGCATAAGGAAGGGTAAAAAGGTCTTTTACCCTAGTTTAGACACTTAGTGTGGGTCAGGATCCGATTATTGATGGATGATTATTTCGGTGATTGATAGCGCGAGGATCTTAGCGGGGCAGCAGCCATAGATTCTTTCTGTGAGATTCAGCAGTGCGATGTGAGTTTCCTCACTATTTTTAGCTGGTCGAAGGCACCAATGCCAGCCCACGTTTTGTTATGTAAGGTGCTATATGTTTGCGTGACTCTTGCATGTGTATGTGCTTGTATGCTTACTGGGCGGGGCCCGATGGGTATTCTATATGCTAGTATCTGTGTATATGATTTGTATGTGGGCGGGGCCCGTTATACGAGTTTAGGCGGGGCCCGTTATACTCAGTGGGCGGGGCCCGATGACTTTACGGTATGCTATTATCTTTGTCATCTTCGCATGTATTTGTATGTTTGTATGATATATGTTTTATATGTTTACTGGGCGGGGCCCGAAGACTTACAAATCTGTATACCGAGCGGGGCCTGATGACGGGGCGGGGCCCATTATGTGCTTACTTATGTATGTATGGTATGTGGTATTTTGGGGAACTCACTAAGCTTTGTGCTTACGGTTTTCAGTTTATGTTTCAGGTACTTCTGTTTTCAAAGGAAAGAGCTCGGGATGATTGCAGAGCACACACCACATGTTTCTGCATTCTATGATTTACTCTGATAATGATGATGTATTGATAAAACTTTGATTACCTTGGTTTTATGAAAATGATATGATTTACTATTTTATTAGTTTAAAAATGAAAATTTTCGAGTCTTATTTTTGGGACATTACAGTCGGGTAAGTCAATTTCAACATCACTACCTTATATCACTTATGCTCAATTTACTTGCACTCCTGGTCTCTCCATTTAATTCCGGCCTTTCACCCTGATCTTTCTAGCTTAGACCCATTTCCTCTCAGTCACTTTCGTGCTCACTCCCAACCCTTCACAGCCTTGCTCTCATAGTCATACCTTATCCAACCTTATCCGAGCATATCTCGTATGCAAGATAATACTCATGCTTATATCAGATAGGCTCTCTTTCTTTCATTCTCTCTCTAGTACGCCATTTTGCATGCTCTCTTCTTGTCTTTTACATGTTTACGTTAATAGCAGCTTCGAGAACTCCACAACACCTTATATTGTGCTTATGCTCCCTACACCACCATCTTACACCCCTTTTTTTCGTCTCGCTTTTTACCTACATTCCAATCAGAGAACTCATCGTCTTCATTTCATATGCAACATCACTGAAGCACGTACCACAATATTTTCCGCTTTAGGTCACCTGACATGAAAATGTCTTACACCCTTTGTTTTCTTCCCACTTTTTACCTACATTCCAATCAAAGATCCCACTCTCTTCATCTCATATGCAACATCCCTTAAGCATGCACCATAAAATTTTCTCTTTAGACCACCCGACACGAAAACCTCACACAGGGGTCAGCATCCTGGAATTATGATAGAGAAGGTATTCATATTCCTTATATGACAATGTTTAGTTCCCATTCTCAGTAGATGTGAGATTAGGATCCCTCCCTCATTCACCCTTTATCACAAGGTTCGATGCCCCAGCCTCTAATA